GGCCTGCCCTCAGTCCACACAGACCGCCCTCCATTCATGTGGCCTGCCCTCCATCCACACGGCCCGTCCTCCGTCCACACGGTCCGCCCTCTCTCCACACGGCCCGTCCTCCGTTCACGCTCCCAACCCTCCGTCCTCCCTGCCATGTTCACAGTCTGGTCAAGGTCATTTCTGCAGGTCTCCCTCGGGCGAACCCTGCACGCTTTATAAACAAGCTCAGACAGCCGGGGGTTAACCCAGGTGATAGCATCGTTCTCTCTCTCCCAACAACGCTCTGGGGGACGACGATTCTGTCCACAAAACATCTCGGCTCTCCTCCCCATCAGTCTCCCTCAACCCAGGCTGGCGCTGGGCAGTGGCGTCTCCACCGCCGTGGGAGAGGGCTGGGCACCAGGTCTGGCAGATGAGGCCTCACGCCCGAGCTCAGATGCACGTGGGCCAGGGGCGAGCTCCTTCGCCTGACCTTCCGGGCTCAGTGTCTTTCTCTCAGGCAGAACAGAACACCTGCTTGGCGAGGTCTCTGGCAGGGCTGGCAGGGGGCAGAGAGGGACGGGAGCAGGCTTTGTCACCACGACGCCTGTTCCTTGCACGGAGACACTGGGTCGCGAGAGGCCCATAGCTCACCGGCGCCCTCCCCATAGGAGAATCGGAGCCGACTTCTAATTTGGGTCAGGACTAGAACCTGGTGCCATTTGCCTAGAAGCTAGCAGTGACCCCTGTGTGGCCGACGTCCTTCTCTCTGTGACCCTAGCTCCTGGCACACAGCAGGTGTTCGGTAGACACTTAAAACGAGAGCCGGCCAGGCTCAGTGGCTCAACCTGTCATCCCAGCACTTTGGGAGGCCGAGGCGAGTGGATTGCCTGAGCCCGCGGGTTCGAGACCAGCCCGGGCAACTGGGCGAGACCTCATCTCTACAATAAATTTAAAAAATTAGCCAGGCATGGTGGTGAGCACCTGTAGTTCCAGCTACTTGGAAGGCTGAGGCGGAAGGATCGCCAGAGCCCAGCAGGTCGAGGCTGGGGTGGCCGTGAGTGTGCCACTGCCCTCCAGCATGGGCGGCAGAGTGAGACTCTGACTCAAAATACATAAATAAATGAAACGAGAACCCTTGTCTGGCGGTGCACAGAGATGCAGAACTGGGGTGCTGGAGTCCCTCTAGTCCAGCCTTCTACAACATTCTGGTGAGAGAATACCCAGCCCTGCTTGATTTCCCCTAGTGGCGGGGAGCTCGCCACCTCCCACGGCAGTCCCTTGTACGGCAGCACAGCTGTGACGGTCCCACATGTCTTCTGGGCTGCAGCCTGCCTCGCTTGGGGTTCTGGGCCGCTGACAACTGCATGTTGCATTTCTGCCAGGGGGGCCCTGGCCAGCCTGGTCTCACAGTCACCTCACTCTCCAGCTCTATTAAGTCAGGTTCTTCCTCCACTCCTCGGTGAGAGGTGGCCCTGAGCGTGCAGCCGCTGGGTCAACACACACCCAGCCTCACGTACATGCCTGCCCCAGGGTGACCCACCACTGCCCTCAGCCTTGTGGGGAGGCGGCTTTGTACATGCCGAACCAGGGGACGGGCCACCTTCTGGACCCTTCTGGCTCTCAGAGAGCACTTTCCTCCTGGGCCCCTGTCCCCCCTGGACAGCCATCGAGGCAAACGTGGGGAGAGCCTCGGGCAGAGTTTCGGGCACTGGAGACCATGGCTTTGCTCAGACCCTCCTTGCTAGAGCAGAAACCCCCAATGCCAGGCCCACTGACCGCCACCTGCAGTCCATGGCCACCTAGACAGGCAGCCTTCCGCGGCCACAGACGAACTCATGTGGCCTGAAAAGGCCTCACTGGGGAAGCCTGGCTCTGGGGGAGAGCCAGTCCTGAGCTGCCGTTCAGGGCCATACTGGGGGCCACGGGCCACAGCTTCAAGGTCAAAAGCGGGGGTCACCATGGCAAGACTTGGAAAGACTGCCACCCTGCCCCTCCCGTGGTGGGTACCAGCTCCTCTGCTGAGTGTGGCGTTCCAGTTATAGCAATCTTGTTTGCGAGAGCGGGTTCCAAACAGGTCAGCACGCAAACCCAGCCCAGCCAGCAATTCCACCCCTAAGTTCAAGCACACGCTCGTAGGCAACTGTCTGCAGCCAACAACCCTCACGACAGCCAGCAGGTGGACACAACCCACATGTTCACCGATGGATGAATGGGTGAGCAAAGCGGGGGACGTCCACGCGGTGGAATATTACTCGGCCTTTGACAGGAAGAAGATTCTGACACAGGCTACAGCATGTAGCCTCAAGGGCGCAGCTGAACGAAACAAGTCGGCCACCAAAAGACAAATCCTGCGTGAGGCCACACAGAGGCGATCCCTTGAGTCACCACGTTCGTAGAGGCAGAAAGTCGATGGTAGGGGCCATGGGCTGGGGGAGGGCCTGGGGAGCAAGTGTCTCACGGGGACAGAGTTTCCACTTGGGAAGACGAGAGAGTTTCGGAGTTGGAGGGTGGTGATGGCTGCATGACAGTGTGAATGTTCTCAGTGCCCCAAACTGTGCCCTTAGAAATGGTCGTGATGGGGCTGGGTTTGGTGGCTCAGCCTGTCATCCCAGCACTTTGGGAGACGGAGGCGAATGGATTGCCCGAGCCTGCGGGTTTGAGACCCGCCCGGGCAGCTTGACGAGACCTCGTCTCTACAATAAATCAAACACTAGTCGGGCGTGGTCGCACGCACCTGTAGTTCCGGCTACTTGGAAGGCCAAGGCGAAAGGATCGCCAGAGCCCAGCAGGTCGAGGCTGCGGTGGCCGTGAGCGTGCCACTGCACACCAGCCTGGGCGACAGAGAGAGACGCCAACTCACAAAATAGAAAGGAGGTCATGATAGGAAACGATACATTATGTGTGTTTGGCCACATTACGACAAGACTGGGGGCGGAAGGGGAAGGAAGGACTGAACTCTGAAAACACGTATAGTGGAAGGAGCCAGACACAAAACGCCACGCACGGGATGATTCCTGTAAAAGCACGCACGTCCAACCCGTGGCCCATGTGCGGCCCAGGACGGCTTGTCATGTAGTCCCACAAAATCTTTTTTTTTAATTTTTTTTTTGAGTCCCACTCAGTTGTCCAGCTGGAGTGCAGTGGCACTCACGACTACCCCAGCGTCGACCTGCTGGGCTCTGGCAATCCTTCCGCCCAACCTTTCCAAGTAGCCAGAACTCCAGGTGCGCTCTACCGTGCCCGGCTCATTTTTGACTTACTGTGGAGACGAGGTCTTGCCAAGTTGCCCAGGCGGGTCTTGAACCCATGGACTCAGGCAATCCACTTGCCTCAGCCTCCCAAAGTGCTGGGATTCCAGGCTGAGTCACCGAGCCCAGCCACAAAATCTTTTAACCTCTTAACCTGTTTTTAGTATTTTATTTTCTTTGCGACCCCATGCATGGTTCTGCTTTTGAAGGTCACCATCACGCCTTATTCCTGACACTGCTCTTTGGCAGCACATACACGGGTGAGCGGCTGTTTTCAGTGACGAAGCCCACGGAGAGCAAAATTCGAACAAACGTTTCTGACGAGCACTTTGAGAACTCACTGAGAATGGCGACCGTGTCTGTCAAACCAGATGCTGATAGATTAGTTTTACAAAAGAAAGGTCAAATTTCCCACTAGTTTTACAGGGTTCTCATCTTTATAAACTTTATCATAAAAAATATATTTTTGAAAAGTCTTATTGTGTATATACACCGATTATATTATATAATTTATGTGCGGCCCAAGACAATTCCTCTTTGCTTGATGCAGCTCAGGGAAGCCGACAGGGCAGACACCCCTGCTTTAATAAAGAATCCACACCATGCAAACGCCGAGACAGAAAGCAAAGGGGTGGGGGCCAGGGCCAGGGCCAGGGCCAGGGCCAGGGCAGGCGGCCGGCATGGCTGCTAACAGGTGTGAAATGTCTTGGAACTAGACAGTGGCGATGGCTGCACTATCCTGTCAACGTACCACACTTTAAAATGCTACATTTCAGGCCATGTGAATGTCATGTCCAGAAACACCCACGGACCCACCCAGGTTGGAACCCTCGGAGGTGGGCGCGGATTCAGGGCACAGGTGGCAACTCCTCCTCACAGATGCCCTGAAGGTTGGGAAAGAGCCTGGGGCAGGGTGTCCGGACCCCTCCCCAGCCCGGCTTCCTCTGGGGCGGATCCAGCCAGTGGGCCTCTCCAAAGGGCCAGTCAGCTGGCAGGGCCGGCACGGGACACTCACGTCCCAGTGGCCATGTGGCCCATGTCTCCCTCCCTTTCCTCTTTGAACTTCCACATGCAGGAAGCCCCTCTGTCTGGGGAGGGGGCACAGGCTGGCCATGGAGAGGGACCCTTTCCCCACACCCTGAGGCAGCGGGACCCCCAGCCTCAGAGTCAGGGGGACATGGAGACCCAAGGACGCCCCCATAGGGTGTGCCGCACGAGTAGTTTCTGCAGAAAAATCCACCCTCTCGCCCTCTGCCAGCGCGTTATCCAAGTCTCTTTGCACAAAGCAAACAGATCCAAACACACTGTCCATAACAGATCTGCCTGGCTGGTGAGACCCCTGTCAAGGGGGAGGAGCCACCCCCCCACAACGACCCACCTAAGCGGAAGTGGCAGGTGATAATGCGGACAAGCTCAGACGAGGAGGAAACCCAGACCTCAGGCGTCCTAAGTGCTCCCCGGGGAGGCTGTTGCCTTGACACTGCCTCACGCTCCTGGGCCAACGGCCAACGGGGTCATCTCTGACGCTTGTCCTGCTTCCTCCCCAAAGGATGCCAGGCTGCTCCCTGGGGCCGCTCCCACAGGTGAGCTCTGGCGGCCCCGAAGTCCAGGCGGCAGGACCGCCTCCCAAGCAGGGTTCCCTGAAAGACGGCGGCTGCCAGAACCCGAGCACGCCGGACACGTGGTGGAGGCCACCCAGAGGGAGTCGAAGTCGCCATGCAAGACGGCCCGGCATGCTTGTACCAGAGGGGTCCCGGGGGAGAGGGAAGCGCGTCTTACCTGACGGCATCGAAGCTGTCATAGGAGCCCACCGTGTAGTGCCTGAAGAGTTTCTTGCTGCGGTCGGCCCGGGTTTCTGCACAGAGAGGAAGAGACACACGGCTTAGAGAAGTCACAGTCCTGGAATGCCGACCCCACACAAGGCTGGCTGGGTCTTGCACTCAGCCGCAGGGAGCATGAGGGTGAGGCCTGCTCTCCTGGGGAAACACCTGGGGGGAGGCAGAGGCTGGGTTTTGGGGAATTTGGGCGCTTGCGCTTAAGAGTCAGGAGCCGCCGGGCTCGGTGGCTAAGCCTGTCATCCCGCGCCTTTGGGAGGCTGAGGTGAGTGGATTGCCTGAGCCCACGGGTTCGAGACCCGCCTGGGCCACTTGGAGAGACCTCATCTCTACAATAAATAAATAATCAGCCGGGCGTGGTAGTGTGCGCCTGTAATTCCGGCTACTCGGAAGGCTGAGGCGGAAGGATCGCTGGAGCCCAGTAGGTCGAGGCTGCGGTGGCCGGGAGTGGCCACTGCACTCCCGTCTTGGCGACAGAGGGAGACTCCAGCTCAAAAAAAAAAAAAAAAGTCAGGAGGCCGAGTCCTGCGGGTCTCAGCCCCTGGGGGCGGCCGGAGGCAGCACCGCCAGAACTGAGTTCTACAGTGATGCCGCTGAGACTTCTAGCGAGCCTGGGACCCGCAGAGGCCTGACTTTGGGGAAAGAAAGGATGTGTATTGTGATTTTTCTGATTGGAGTTGCCTTCTAGGAAAAAAAAACCACCACCAGACAAACATGATTAACGCGTCCAATTAAGTCCTCGCTGTCTGCTTTGCTTACTCAGCAGATGTGGACGTACATTTCACGGAAGATGATAAGAGCCATGTAATTAGATCTAATAGATGGCTCAGGGCTGGCGGGAGGAAGGAACCCGCAGCACAAATGCATGAAATCCAGCAGCTTGCGGTGTGCTGGTCAGATGCTCTCTTCCCGGAGAAGGCTCCCTGCCCCGTCTCCCTCCTAAAGCCTGCCACGAATGCCGAGAAACAATGGCCACGGACTTTAGGAAAACGGGCCCACCTTGAACCTGAATTCTGGCAACAGCCCTTTCCGTCATGGGTCCCCGCTGTCCCGAACACGGAGGGGAAGGTGTTCTCCCCCACCCCAAACTCCAACGTGCACGTTTATAGCAAAAGTGAACACAGGCGAGGGTGTGGGGAAGGGCTCCTCCCTTTCCTCTCTCCAGTGGCTCTGTCCTTGGGGTGAGAAAGGACACAGGTGTGGGCTTGGGACTACATTTCCCAGCAGCCCCTGAGCCGGGTATGGCCATGTGACTGGTTTTCACCAATGGGGTGCAACCACCAGCAAGGGTAGGGGAAGGGTCCCTTCCAGGCCAGGCGTCTTTGGAAGCCAGTGAGCTCTCCCTAACTCTTCTTGCTTCTGCTGGCTCCAAGCTCAGGCATCCGAGGTCCCGGGGGACGGTGATGTCAACAGCCGGAGTCCGGACACCCGGGTCTCTGTGCACTGGACTATAGGACTTACATTTCCGTTGCACTCAGCGGCCCTGCATCTTTGGACGTGTTTGTTACAGCAGTGAACACTGCCTTATCCAACACAGCAGATGGGGTCTTCCGTGCCTAGGCTCCTACCTGTCCCCAACCCTTCCACATTGCTCCCCAAACACCTGAGGCTCTGGCAATACAAAACTTACAGCTTCCTGAACGGCCACAAGGTCATTGTCACCATCGCCACTGCTGACACTCACTGAGCGCTTACTGGGTACCAGGCCCTGCTGTAAGTGCTGTTTGTGTGTTCGATGGTTTAACCACCAGGACCATGGTGCAGTCCCGACAGGGGCAGCCCCTTGCCCTTCCACTCCAATGAATGCCACCCTTCAAAGCCCTGCTCAGGACAGAGGGTGCCCTCATCAGGGATGCACCCATTATTTAAAAAGAATGATCTTGGCAGGGCGTGGTGGCTCAAATCTGTAATCCCAGCACTTTGGGAGGTGGAGGTGAGGGGATTGCCTGAGCCCACAGGTTTGAGACTAGCCTGGGCAACTTAGCGAGACCTTGTCTTTACAATAAATAAAAAATTAGCTGGGCGTGGTAGTGCACGCCTGTGGTTCCAGCTACTTGGAAGGCTGAGGCAGAAGGACTGCCAAAGCCCAGCAGGTTGACGCTGGTATAGCTGTGAGCATGCCACTGCACTCCAGCCTGGGTGACAAAGTGAGACTTCAACTCAAAAAACAAAACACAAAACATAAAAATAATAACCTCATTTAAATTTAAGTTGAAAGCCGCCTACTCGTTTAAATGTGGGCCAGGGTACACTACAGCATAATCAACCCCTCCTTACTCCGATATATATATTTTTAAGTGACCGGGTATCACTCTGTCTTCTAGGCTAGATGGTACTGGCACCATCACGGCTCACTGCAGCCTGCAACTCCTGGGTTCAAGTGATCCTCCTGCCTCAACCTCCCGAGTAGCAGGGACTACAGTCGCACGCTTCCACGCCTGGCTAGCTTTTACATTTTTTGCAGGGGTGGGGCTCACTATATTGCCCAGGTTGGTCTCAAACTCCTGGGCTCAGGCAATCCTCCCCCCTCGGCCTTCCCAAGTGCTGGGATGGCAGGCATGAGCCATCCACACCTGGCCAGTACTCTGGTCTTGCGGGAGCACACTGTGTTCACTAGAATGCCCCGACACTCACTAATGTTCACCCGTCACCACACAAACGAAAAGCAACGACGTTGCACAAATACAGTAAACAATTTGCCTTTTAAGAAAAGTCGTACGTTATACACAGCAAACAGACTGCCGGGAAAAAAAGCCATCAAGGGCATCCATCCCCGTCACTCTGTTATACTGTATATAAAAAAGAACACCGAGGTAAAAATTTATTGGAGCAGACTCAGAACAGTCAGTGAGCTGTCATCCCCCACTTGGTCCAGCCTCTGCCTCCGCCCTATCTTTGTCTTCACTGATGCTTCCGAGTCCGTCTCCTGTACCGTGATCCGTGCGTCTCTCAGCACAGCAAGGAGGTGGGACGGCTGGACCCATTTTATGAAGGGGCATCGTGAGGACTGTCCAGAGTCACACACCCACCCGATGGTGGGCCGGCATCCCCGCCCCAGCTGCAGATGGGTCCCCGCTGCTAAGCCCAGAACTCTCCGACCCCCACGAGAGGGTCCAAACACCCCCGTGTTCTCTGTGGTGCCAAGGATGGGAACCGGGCCTCGCTTCTCTACGTCTAACCCTAGAGACGCATGATGGAAATGCTTGCTGACCTGACCAGAAGGATGCACTCTACAATGAGCAAATCCAAAATGCAACACACACCCTCAGCGGCGCCTGCGCGTGTGCCGGGCTTCTCCAGGCCGGGCACGGGTCCAGCCAAGCTGCTCACACCTCCTGTGCTTGGCATCTGCCCCGCACGTGCCCAGAGGCCCGTGTCCTCCTCCTCCCCCCACCCGACATCCATCCTGTATCTCACACACGTCCTCTTCCGGTCATTTCTGAAGCCCACCTGGGAGCTCGGCCCTGCGCCCTGGTGCAGGGACTAGAAGCACTAGGCTGGGCGGGGCTGTGGGTTCTGCTCCCTGGGGCCCCCCGGGGTTCCCCCGGGGCTGACCTTCCCCGGGCAAGGGGAACCAGCACTCAGAGGGAGGATCGGGCCAGGCTGGCCCTGGGCCATGGTGCCAGGGCCAGGGGTGAGGAGGGAAGACTGAGGCTTGACCCTTTCCCTGGGGATGAACTGCTAACTGCTGTGATTACTCTTAATTGCCTCTGCGACTCACACCCCAGTGGCTGTGGGTGCTGTTATCTAGGGAACTGCTGGGCGCTCGTGGCTGTTTGGTGCAGGTTCCTGGCTGAGGTCAGAGGTTCCTGGGTCCAGAAGCAGCGCGGAGAGTGTGTGGTGGAACATGTGTGTGTGCACGCATGTGTGCAGGTGTGTGTGTGTGTGTGTGTGTGTGTGTGTGTGTGTGTGCGCGCGCACGTGTTAGAGCTCATCAGAGGAAAATAATGTTCCAGAACGGGAAGCACGTCCAGGCAGAGTCTCTTAGCCAGTGGTTCCCTGATTTGGGGACTTCATGGATCAACAGGGTTTTAAACACAGCAGGGAAGGGTGTAGACCCACACAGAGGTTTACTCAGGTTTTAATCTGGCTCAGTCAGGACTTTCAAAAGACAACCCCTAGGCCGGGCGCGGTGGCTCAAGCCTGTCATCCCAGCACTTTGGGAGGCCGAGGCGGGAGCATTGCCTAAATCTGTGGGTTCAAGACCCGCCTGGGCAACATGGTGAGATCTTGTCTCTACAATAAATCAAAAAATAGCTGGGTGTGGTGGTGCACGCCAGTAGTTCTGGCTACTGGGGAGGCTGAGGCAGAAGGATCGCCGGAGCCCAGTGGGTGGAGGCTGGGGTGGCCGTGAGCATGCCACGGCACTCCAGCCTGGGTGATGGAGTGAGACTCCGACTCAAACACACACACACACACACAGCCCCCTCTGCTTTCACAATTACTTTATGGAAGAAGGAAGGGAATCTTAGGAAGGACATCCTCTCCGACCGCTTGTGAAGGAGCCCCACTGCTGCGGCCTTCCTGCCCCTGTCAAACAGCCACACGTTTGCTCTGGGATGCGGTCCTGAGGGGCCGGGGAGGGGTCCCCAAGCGCATAACCATCAGCGCCATCACAGGCACCACCCATGGTCGTCATCACATCATCACCGTCATCAACGTCACCGTCACCATCCTCATCGCCACCCCCACCCGCGTCACCGCCCCC